TTTGAAGAATTTTGGATTCAGATATTAACTAACATATTTATGGAATATTGGGCTTAAAGATTAGACGGCTCCAGAGTGAGGTGTAGGGACTGTAGTCTGGGCCCTGACAAAATTAAGCAGGGCTGTTGTGACAATGAAGTAAATTCACAGCAATGGCTGACCCTTTGTTTCGGACTTTTTAGTTTGAGGAGCGGCAAGGACACCATTCTTTGTTCTGTTTTTTATTTAACCCAACTCTTGATGTTAATCATCCAGTGGACCAATTATTCTGAGTCAGAGAGGAAGCTGTTGTCTCAGGGTCATTACCTAAAATTATTTCTTTTAAGAGATGACTTTGGCCACAGTATGAATCACTTCTTCCTTTCACTTATGTTCACCCCTTGGTTTTTCCTGCACTTGTCGTCAGATTTGTTGCTAAATTGGTAACAGATGAATTGGTCTGTTTCTGTCAATGTTTAAGCCTGGCTAATGGCTTATGCACTTAGCTGTTGGCTTTGGTGATGGATATGTATATTTTCTCCTGGTTTTTGCTCATTATTCTGATTTGTTTAGGCTTGGCATTTATTATTTGTACAATGTTGCTCTGTTTTGGTGTTTTTTTAAGTTTTGCTTATATCCTAACATACTGGGTTTGAATTCCTTCTAGGCCTGGGCGATATATTGAAAATGCATCGTTATCAAAATTTCTGCCTCTAACCAATATCAATTTTCCCATGTCAATAAATTCGATAATAAAAAAAAGAAAAGATGCGTGTAGGTTGGCGACTTTCATGTCACTTTAAGAAGCAGTCCAGTCACACAGCAACATGACTCAATGTAATGCTTGGGTTGGGACAGCCCCATCTAGTGGACAACTTTTGTTTTTGCGCATATCGTTATCAAGAAGAATTCTTCAATATATCGTGATATTGATTTTAGGCCCTATCAGCCAGCCCTACGTCCTTCCAAAGATTTATATCACGTTTTAAAATTATGTTGTGCAGTTTTAAGTTGTTTTAAGATGGCGTACCTTTTTTTTGAATCACATTTTTTTTAGTGTTTTTACTTGTCAACATGACGTGAGTTGCTATTTAGGACTTGAAGTGCACTGTTTCTTCCCCAGTTGTGAGTTAAAGCACCCTTTAACATATCGTGACTTAACAAACTGGACAAGGAACAGTCATCAATGTGTTCTGTTTGTGGCTACGCATTTTGCGTGGGATAATGTTACCAAGAGATGTGAGAGCAGACTCTTAATTCAGCTGTCTTTAGCGCAGGCCTTGGATGTTGTATCCAGACAGACGAGACAGGGCCCTGGACGCATTCCCTTTCGCAAGATACCAGAGGGCTTGAGATGTTGTGACAAATATGCAACCCACTCTTCTTGTCTTCTGGTAGGCCACTGAATCATCTGTGAAGACGAGGCTTAGCCCACTATTTGTCAGCTACTGTGAGATGGTGGACAGTTTGTGAGTCAGCTGCGTTTAGGGCAACTAATTTAAGCCAGTAAAACAGACCACTTTAGCTACTATTGAAAAATAAAAATGAATGCATGGACGCTACACCCAAATCTGAAAATCTCACAGATCATCCTGTTGGTGAAATTCTGAAAAACTGCAAAAATAAGTTGGAGAATATTGACGTAAACAAAACCTGAAGCATACAGATATTTAAATGTAGGTTAGGTGCTCCTGGAAAAAGCCTTTCTAGTAGGTTATAATATAAAAAAAAAACATAATTCATAGGTCCAGCTGCCTGAGAAGTTAGAGTTGTTACATGAGAGCGCATGAAGACAGCCAAATGTGTCTCACACCCATTGCTTGAGAGTTTACAAACCTGATAAAATCCCCTTCAGATATTGTTAGCTCGAGCTTGAATTTATCTTGCTTGTAAAACAACTTGTTTCCTGAGTGAGTGAGATCCACCGAGAAAGGTTTATGATTGGCCCGTCGATGTATCGTGATGCACGTGCGAACATCATTCCCTTCCCTAATGTCTGGAAGGCAGACCGAAACGCAGCTAACCTGCATAGAATATCGACGACAAAGTTCTATAGAAAGTAGCTAAGGATCATCAGAAATGTCATTAGGTTGTTCGCAACACACTTTGGGGGTAGAAAAGTCATGAAGGGGGTCTGAAAAGTTGTTAGAAATGGCGACTAAGTTGGCAACACTGGGAGGTGCGCTTGATTTACCACTCGAAACCGCACAGGAGTTAACCAAGGTAGGAGCAAAGAAGCTTCTCATTTTGTTTGTATAATCGTTCAAAACCCGAATCGTAAATGAGATTAAAATTCGATTAACTGAGCAGCCCTACTTAACAAGTTATCATTCTTGTGTAGACTAGCAGCCGTTTGGGAGTATGCTGATAAGGACGATGTACAGCTATGAAAATTAAATTGTCACAGTCACAAACTTGACAAATGGGGGAAGTACCTGTTTTTCTGTTTAATTTGAATAGTTAATTAAATTCAAATAAATATATTAGAGGTAATAAACTTCATTAACATTTTGTACAGATAATTAGGTTTGAGTATCATGAATTTTAAATGAGGTCTACAGTCCCAGCTCTGTGACTAGCAAAATGTCGAGGACTCGATTAGAAACATTATAACCTATTAACATAGGGAGTCGTCATTGCAAACAACTTCATTTATATTTTAGACAAGCTGGTTATAGCAGAGTTCTTGTGTTTATTTCTCTTTGTGAATAAAAATGTCTTAACTTCACATCGAAAAATAATGCAGCTGTTTTATTACTTTTGTTTGTGCTTTTCCTTCCCTTATTTTTCCATCCTCAGTGCCCTTGTGCAACATTACCAAGGGATCCTGGTGGGCTGAGGATCATCAAATTGCTTTGAATCATCATTGTACACGCAAGCGTACGCCATCAGCTGCAGGGAGATTGTGTTAATTCCTGGCTAGTTCCGAACCATGGCGGGATTTTCCCTGTGTCATTTGGCTCTTGTTTCCTGTCCTGCCAGATTCTCCATTGCATCAACGCACAGTAAACAATTAGGAGGAACAAATAGTGAGAAACCCGAACCCTGAGTCACCAGCGGCCATGAAACGTCAGAGCTAACCATCATGAGCAGAGAGCAGACCCATCCTCCTGGGTAATAAAACAACATTGGCCACCTGCATGATGGGCTTAACTGACTCTCTTTGAATAAAACATGTACATGGAGGCAATTTTTTTATGGTGATAAGAAATGGAGCTTAACATTTCCACTTGATGCTTCAAGAATTGTAACCTTGCTCCAAATGTTTTTTTAATTGAAAAATAGCTTGTGAATGTGGAAAAACCCACAACATGCTTAGTCATCTGTGTGAAAAGGACCTTTTTGTCACTTTTTAAAAGTAAATTCCTACAAAGTTGGCGATAAAGCTGTCTCTGGTGGCAGTGAGACATTAAATGATGTGATTTAGTTTGTGTTTAGGTGTGCCTAAATGTGGTTTCTGTGTGGGTAACAAGTTCTGTAGTCAGTAAGAGCTTGAGGGGGTGTGAAGGCTTAATTTGTGTTTGCCAAGGGAAGTTATCGGAAGAGGAACTTGTCTTATCTAACTAGATATTAATCTAGTTTCTGCTCATATTAGTTTCTGTGTGTAAAGAGACTATCAGCGATAACTCCTCCTAAATGAAGTAGAATTTGTTCTTTACGACCCACACTACATGTTTAGAAGTTATTTTGAGCACTTATTTTTTAAGTATGGGCTAGTTTACTATCTAAAAAAGTTCTGTTTCAAACCATTTAAAGTGATGTTTTTTTTTTATTGTTGTTGTCGTTGTGTCCTTGGGCAAGACACTTAAACCCTCCTTGCCTGCTGGTGGTGGTTGGAGGCACCGGTGGCGCCAGTGCTCGGCAGGCCTCGCCTCTGTCTGTGCGCTCCAGGGCAGCTGTGGCTACATTGTAGCTCATCACCACCAGCGTGTGAATGTGTGTGTGAATCGGTGAATGACTGGTTGTCTTGTAAAGCACTTTGAGGGGTTCTAGGACTCTAGGAGGCGATATATCAAATGCAGGCCATTTACCATTTTTTAGCATTTGTTTTACCATGAAAATCGAGTCAAAAGTACACAGGGCGTGGGTAAGTGTCTTTGGGGGACGCCATATTAGATGCCATGTTTCCTTCTGGCCGGCTCGGGGTCCTACTCATATCAATGACATCACACTAGATGATTGGCTGGCTATATGACTTACAGACGTTATGTTACTGCATTAGGAAACATTTAGGTAGTTAAAAACATGAATTTAATAACAAAACTACTAAACTCTTTCCAAAACCTATTTGAAAAAACAGAATCAAAAGAGAGATGCAATATATTTTGGCCAAGCTGTATTGCCGTAGTATGATGGCGTCATCGGCAGGCGCAGGACCCCCAGCGGATTCGGAAACCACAGCGCCAGAAAATTACAATCAGCATTTCATTCTCTGTATTGAATTAACGGAAGGACCATCAAAGTCTTAGGAGTCATGCCGAGGTCACATGCTTTTGCTCCACAGGCAACAACATTTACCGTAATGTTTTTTTAAATGGAGTCGGTCATGTCGATATGATTTAAAACTACCCTGAAATAGAGCCCTGCACGGGCCTAAAATCTGAGCCCGTGTCCGGCCCGGCCCGAGGGGGTGGAGCCCCAGCCCGACCCGGTCCGAAAAGGTTTTCAGGATTCTCTGGCCCGACCCGAGCCCGACTTTTTTTTAACCTTTCATAATGTTTTAGCGTGATAGAATGCTCAGCATTCTAATTATCTGTGAGAAGCGTTCGGCAGTAAAAAAAAAAAAGAAAAGAAAAGAAAGAAAAACAGCATTCAATACAGCTTTTTTTTCTAACAGAGCGTATTTTTCGAGCGGCAGATGACATTTACGAACACTATATTATTTGGATGAGTTTGTAAATTCAATCTGCTCTGAAAATGCGCTCTTGTGCAATTACAAAAAAAAGGAGTATTCTAATTTTCTAACTGCAGAGCGCATTTTCAGAGCGGCAGATTAAATAAACGCCCCCAATTTATAAAGCGTTTGTAAATTTAATCTGCCGCTCTGAAAATGCGCTCTCCAGTTAGAAAAAAAACCCAGCAATGAATGCTTTATTTTTTTGAACTGCAGAGCGAATTTCTTCACAGAAAAATAGAATGCTGCCGTTTTCATGAGAGTAAACAAATGCTTTCTGACATATCAAAGTGGACATAAAATGGCATATTAGAATAGGGGCACATGTTTCAATCAACAGTTTGAGAATTTGTTTATATAGGCGCATTTATAAACCACACAGACCTTAACTGAGCTTTGAATGGCATAATGAACATGGGAATAAAATTATAAGAACAAGCCTTTAAGAACAGCCTACGTCCAGTTTAACTCATTCACTGCCAGCCGTTTCCTGATCACTAACGGCCTTCGCTGCCAGCGTTTCTCACCGTTTTTACTGTTTTTTAAGAGTCACAGAACGTTGCGCGCTAGCATGATGTCGATGCCAAAACAACCAAAACAAAGAGGAGACTCACCTCTTACATCAGGAAGAATCTGCGTGTTTCGAGCGTTATCCATTCTTTCATAATCCGTTGTCGAATTGTGATCGGCAGACGCTTTTCTGGTTCGCACCTCACTTTTTTTACAGGAACGGCCCAAAACGATCTCCTAACACATGGATGTGTTGCTTCCTGATTGTGTGATCTGTGACGTATGCGGATGAAGATCGGCTTCAGGGCTGAGATGTTTGTTCTCAGCACGGGGCTCGTTCCGATGCTCAAACAGTAAAAAAAAAGTGCAAATGACGACTTTAGTCGTCATTGGCAGTGAACGGTTGGATCTAAAATGATGACTTTAGTCGTCAATGGCAGTGAATGAGTTAACAAAAGTTGAGCCCCTTAACATGGCAAAAGTCCTCCATTTTCTGAACACAACAAGAGGAATAGTTTATTTGGCATCATGCAGGAAAAGAATGGCATCAACAGTTTCAGGGGCAAGTCCAGTCCTCCTTTCCTCTATCGCTCTTCCAGCTGCGCTAAAAGCGCGCTCACTGCTGCTGCTGCTGGTCGGGACACTGAAGACCATGCGGGCTGGACGTGCGAGTTAAGATGCTGTATCTAGTCTGCCATTTGTTTGACGTTTTTTGGCAGCTGAGAGGCGAGGCCTGACTGTTTCAGGTAGCGAACTAAAGCCTTGGCTGCCAACAGGGTCTCCGCTACCTCTGGGACTACTTCAGCCAGCTCATCTGTGTTTAGGGCATGTCGGAGGACTGTGTTGTACAGGTGATCTTGACAAGCCAGGTGCCTGTATGGACGGAGAGCAGCCAGCACGTTTGCGCCCTGGTCGGTTACCCAGACAACGTTGTTCATAACGGATGCATCAAAGCCGAGGACTGTGACCAACTGCTGCTGAAGCTCTTTTCGGATATTATCTCCTGTTTTCGCATGGTTTGGGAAGCATGTTGTGGTGGGTAGCTTGCTCTGTCCTCCATGTTTGTGGTGGGAGTTGGGGAAGCCCCTTGTGTAAAAGTGAGGGAGAAATCTATGGGTGCCAGTGCATGAGAAGCAGGCAGGTGCTGCTGTGTTCGTGTTTCAGTTTTTTTTATGAATTTGATTAAAAATAAAGGCGCCCGGCCCGTGTCCGAGGCAATTACACAGTCGTTGGCCCGAAGCCCGGCCGTTGGGCCGGGCTGACCCCCGGGCCGAGGGGGCTCTACCCTGAAATATATGTACTGCCCTCTAGCGCCAGAAAACTACACACTGCCACTTTAATGTTCTCTCTCACTACCTAAGGCGAGACATTTCTGCTGGAAAAGGACTTCTTATATATATTAAACAACTGGAATATAAGAAAACATTGACACGCTAAAAATTGTGATATTTCGTGCAATGATTCTGCATAAATGTTTAATAGAGGGTATGAATTTTTTTATAGAGAATTTTCTTGCAACTATTAACTGTATCTCTTGTGTGTGGTGCAATTCAGTCCCGCTCTATTGGTTTGGGGGCCAATCACAGCAGTTTGAAATGGCTTTGGCATCAACTTTTATTTAGACTTGGGCTTTTCTTTGAATCAAGATCATATAGAGGTACTAATGTTTATTTAGAAAAGGATGTATTTGCATCTTCTTTGACGGAGCATGGCAGACTGGTTCTTTAACTGACATCGGTAGCAATTAGTACGTCACGTTGTTTGTTATCCAATAGCATGCAGAGACGATTTGAAAGGCAGCCGTTGATCCCGACCCACAGCTTAGAGCCGTTAATGGACCGTGGCCAGACTATATATTCACAGGCTAAATACACACCACTATTAAAGAATAAAAAATCCAAAAAGTCTTTGTCACGTCAAGAAAAATTAATTGCAGATTTTTCCTGTGACAAATAAAAATCTATTATTAGTTTTATTTAATGCTTTAGTTTAAAATTGGCTGTAGCAGTAAAATGATAAACAAGAGAAAATCCATTATTTATTACAGTCTCAGCTTAATGTGCATATTAGCTGGTTAATGGAATGATTTCTATTTTTAAAGTCCTATTAATGTGCGCGCTGTGGAAACGACACCATTACCATTCCTCTGTGGTAATTCATTCTACTCCTCCCCAAGATCCTTATACTGAACGCTTATTCTACTTCAGCTCTACTGTTTACTGATTACTTACTTTGGCTTTTTGTATGAATGCATCAGTCCATTTTTTCCCATTTGAAACAAAGCAAGCTGGGAGAAGATTGGTGCCTCTTTTGCTCAGCAAAGTATCTGGTAACTCGGCACATGCTGAGCAAGTGATCAGCGCCGTCTCTTTAAGATGCCATCCATTAGTAATAAATTGGAGCAGATGCTACAGAGGCACTTTCAGAGTGTGTGTTGTGTCACTATACAAAGAATTTCTTTGTTTTGACTGTCGGCATGCTGCTTTGTGATCTTTGAAGACATTAGCAAACCCAAGGCTGTAATTGTCGTCCGCGCTGGAGTTCTGAAGCCCAACTCCCCACCCACCTTGCCTCCTTCATTGATCGGAGTATTAAGAGGAGGGAGGGCATGTTGCTCTGTGAATGGGAGAGTGAGCCAGAGACAGTGTGAGGGGGAGAGAGAGAGAGGGAGGCAGAGGGACTTTAGCGCAGTCATATATGTCAGCCTCAGAAGCTGCGTGGGCTGCTCAGCTGCTGCACGCCATTGTTGTTGTTGTGAAAAAGACAGAACAAAGGACTCCCCGTGCCGTGGACCCCTGGCACCTTTACCAGCATAGCAGTGCCATGATCACACCCTGATGGAATGCTATTGAAATGAAATGTGCTGAGGAGCGAAGCGGGCGCTGACTGAATTGGCACACAATTAAACAAAGAAGCAAAAAAGGAAACAGAGCGGCAAACTGGGGCATCATCCAAGTCTGATTTTTGATCTTGCTTCTTGGACTCTTTGGCCTCCTCTTCCGATGAGAGGCCGGTGCTGATACGGTTTGAGTTTCTCCTGTGAAGCTTTGGCGTGGACATTGCTGTGGATTGTTGAAAGCGTTGCTGTGGATACTGATGGCGGTGAAGCTGTATTGGAGCTGCAGGCGAGAGCGAACAAGCTGCTTGCTGCTGCGGTGTGCCTGAACCAGGATAAGCAGCCACGAGATCCATGCCACTCTTCTTCTGAAGGCTGCATCCGTTGCAAAAAAAAAAAACCCTAATCCTTTTATTCCCACTCTCCTTGTTCCGACTCAGTCAATTCCTGGACGTAATGCAGGAGTGGATAAAAGTGGAGGCTGCAAAAAGACCCACTCAGCCAGATGTCTTGGCATCTCAGGTCATGTGATTTTTCATGAGGGTTGGGTGAAGTGTTGGCGGGTCTGGTAGACCCTGGAACATCTGTTCCTGTCTCTGCATGAATAGTGACGCTCGAATGAGGAAACGCGATGCGAGGAACAGTAAGTAGCGGTACCCTTTTTCTTTTTTTGCAAGCAAAAAGCACCCCAGAGTTATTTTTTATGTCCTTCCACACATGGTGTGTTTCACAGCAGACTTCTACAGAAATTAATAAACAGAAAAACTGATGAATCATCTCAGCAAACAGGGAGAACAACAAGCATGCACATGTAGCTGGCTGAAGCGCTCAGACTTTGATTGAATTAGACTCCCTCGCCCCTCCCTCCACCACCATCTCACTACACACACTGCTGACGCTGCTTGTGTGGGTTTGTATCATCATACGAGACTCCGTGTGTGGCAGTCAAAGGGCTCTTTAGCGTCTCCGCCGAGCACATGAATGGGAGCGGTGTCAGGCATGGAGGTGCTGATGATTTCAGTGTTTGAGGACGGCCACAGACAAAGCCCTTTACCAGAAGAGTGTAGGCTCTATGACAGCGAATTCTACAAGAGCGAGGTACCCACCGCCCACACACAGCACCAGGCAACAAAAAAGCTTGTGTATTTGATTTTATGGGGCTAAGTTAGGAGAATTTTGAGAGGATTTAACCACCAGGTTCCTTTCTGTGTGTTTGTTTTTGCTGCAAATGTGACTTTGTTAGAAAATAACAAATAGATTTGAAATGTCTCCTGTACAGGCCTTTTTTTTAGTCTGCAGGATTTATTACGGTGTGTGTTACACATTTTTATAAAAATATTAGTTCCCAACTAGTATTTTAATGTTTTTGTGTGTATTTTAATGTCTAGTTTAATGGAAGTATGTCCTTTCTTTTTATAAAATGAGGTTTTGTGTCTTCACAGGTAATCCTGGTGCAGGTAAACCCAGGTGAGGCCTTCACTATTCGACGAGAGGATGGTCAGTATCAGTGTATCACAGGTAAGAGCACCATTTGCCTTTTAAATGTGTCTTTTTTTTTAAAAAGTCTGTGGTCTTATTTGTAAAACTACGTACTTAGAATCCTAAGTAAAACCCTACTTGAAAGGAATGCAGATGTTCTTTCTGATTATCAGGAAATAACCGCTCTCTCCGCGTTCTGAAAAGTGCGCACACACACCACTCTACCAGGCGCGCTCTGTTTACAAGTAGCTGCCGGCCTCGCACTCGCCACTCCTAGCGGTAATCTGAAATGCATTCGGATGCCTTTCTCTTTTTATTGTAGACTTAATCACTTTTTTCCCCCTGTGACTGTCAGCCATTTTCAAACAAACGTGGTGAGAACGGAGATGTAGAATGAATATAAACAGAGTGTGCATGCGCACAATGTGAAAACTGGTCCGGTAGTGAAGAGCGAGCACGTACGACAGCCTTGCGTAACAGCTTCGCCAGAATGATTGACAGTTATGGGGACCAATGATTTAGATGATCCACCTGAAATAAAAGAACCTCCGCATTACCTTTACAATAGCTGTCTAATATTTTCTTTTTTCTTATGTCACCATCTAGTGGCTGAAAAGCATATTACACCATGACCTACTTTCATTTCCGTATTTAAGGCCGAAAGCGATGCCTATCGTCCATGAACGCTCTCCTCTAGCTAACAAAGGAGAGCTAAAACACAAAGTTTTACAATTATTTTGCTCGTGTTATGTTTGCGTATTCAGATATTTATATTTTAACTCATTCACTGGCAGCCATTTCCTGATCAGAAAAGCCCTTTGCTGACAGCGTTTTTCAGCATTTTCACTGTTTTTTTTAAGAGTCACAGAACGTTGCCCTCTATGATGATGTCAACGTCAAAACTAACATAACAAAGAGTAGACTCACCACTTACATCAGGAAGAATCCATGTTTCCAGCGTTATCCTTTCTTTCATAATCCGTTGTTGAATTGTGATCGGCAGACGCTTTTCTGGTTTGCGCCTCACTTTTTTTTACAGCAGGGGCCCAAAACAATCTCCTAACACATGGATTTTCTGCTTCCTGATCACATGACTTGTGATGTATGCGGATGAAGATCGGCTTTAGAGCTGGGATGTTTGTTCTCACGGTGCGGGGGCTCTTTCCGACGCCCACACAGTAAAAAATGCAAATGAATTTAGTCATCATTGGCAGTGAATGGTTGGATTTAAAATGCCGCCTTTTGTCATCAATAGCAGTGAAGGAGTTAAAGACTTGTCCATGAGTACAGTTGCCAACTGTGCATCAACCGAGGTACGTCCTTAAACGTTCGAGCATGCTCTGTGATTGGCATCTGTGCGTAAGCGGTGGTCAAACGCTATTAGTAAGTGCTGACCGGTGCTCAGTTAGTGTTGCATTGAGCTCAGTGGGATGGGTGGTAGGCTTAGCAAAAAAAAAAAAAAGAGATGTATGTCCTACATTATATGATATGACAATCACTTTTATGGATTATTGAAAAATCATGCATAATTCCTGAAAAACTCCGAATAGCAGCTTTAAGCTCGGCAAAAGAATATTAATTATACAAACAAATTTTTCGACCAATAGCACTCTTCTTACGTGCGGCTGCAGCAGTTTTATAAGTAAAGTTTTATAAACCACACCTGCCCTACAAATGTGCTCCTGCACACCCATTTTCTTCCATAAATGGACAATTTAAACAACGTTGGGAATGTTGTGGATTAAAAATAAACCTGCTTATCGACTCCATGTCATGATTAACCATGACAACCCAGATAGAAATCCAGACTCTGGGGTGTGACGTAGCCATGGAAAAAATATTTTATTGCCTTTGAGTGGTACGGCGTTGCTGCAGCAGGTAGCTGTGGAGACTCGGGTGATCGCAGCAGGCATAAAAAAAATAATAAAAAAATGAAAACCTAAAAAAGAAGTGGTCACACTTGCCTAAGATGGCAGAAATCATTGGTACTATCAATAGAAGCAACACTATGGCTGTGCTGCCAGGTTTCCTGCCTAGAAAATGTACTTATGCCAGCTTCAGTTTGTTTAAAGTTGCGCACATTTTTCCATCAAGTTTTTGTTAATCAATCACAAACTTTGTGTGGAAAGGGACTTAAGCAGTTTTCATACCTCGTTTTGTACGAAGGCAAACTTTAAAAATGAGGCCCCTGATGAAATAGTGACATCTATTTAAGTCCTGCGTGGGACTGTTTTCTTCATCCCGCTCCTGCCCGCTCCCGCTGAATTTCTGACCATTACCGCCCGCAACCGCAACGTGTGTGTTACACTCCCGCCCGCACCCGCAGTGTGCATGTCTACTCCCGCCCGCAACCGCAAAACTCAGAGAAATTATTACCTCACAATAAAAGAGATGTATTGAGTTTGCGTCCTTTGTTGCACTGTTTCTTTTAGCCGACCGTTCCCGCCCGCAGCAAAATTCACACCGCCCGCCCCCACAAGATTTGTGTTGGGTCGCACGGGACCCGGCGGGACCCAATCCCGATGCTGCCCTCTTACATCTAGTAGCTTTCACTGCACATTTTCTAAACATCCCACAGCCAGTAAGACTGTCATTACATTCTAATTAGGAAATGAAATAAAAATCTAATTAATGGAAACAAATAGATTGTCAATTAAATATTGCCAAACTGCTGCTAAACACGATTTTAGACATAAACAGGAATATGGTTTTATTATGTATGGAAATACTTCGCAGTGGCACCAGGACACTTCGCTCAAATTTATGACAATAATTTATTCATCAATAATACTATCGTATTATTGTTTGCCAGTGATGTGTGTGCAGATATCTGAGCCTTGTAGCTAAAAGATGAATGCAAAAGCTGAAAGAGGGAATTCTCTGCAGCTAAGTTCTTCAAAGATCGACTCACAAATTCACTTTTTATGAGACGTCTTGTTTAAGCATGACTCAACTGCCAATTTTAATCACAACAAGGTGACAACATTTCTGGTTTCTGATGTTTAGAAGAAGCCCAGAGACTAAAATTAGTCTTTTTGACCGTTTAATACAACTCAACACCTTTTATAATGAATTGAATTTAGAAATTTTTCACATTTTCAGCTTTTATTGACATCATTAAAATAAAAGACCATATTACTCCAGAATTAAAGCTTCCCACCCTGCAGATTTTATGGTTCAGTTTAGTCAGGATGCAATGATGTTTTCTTCCAGGAATGATGGAGAGATTTCAGCAGTCTCGGAGCTCTGAGTCTGCGCAGAGCTATAAATGAAAAGATTTGTTGCATAGCTCGTTATGAATGAGATTTCTTAGAAAAACAAAAAGGCTTAACTGATCTTGTGTGAGCCTAAATCAACAATTATTTTTTCATTAGTGAGCATTTTTACTTGTGGTGACATTTAAAAGTTTCAGCTGAAAGCTGCTTTTATCGTTACGTTTCCTTTAATAAGGATCTGTGAAAAAGGGAGGGATCATTTCAGCAAACAACTTTTTCTTTTAGGGATTCATACTGCTGCAGGAAAACCATTTCTTTCATCCTCTCTCCATCCTTCATAACCATCTCCACTCTTGCCGTTCAGTTTAGCAGCTGATTTAAAACGAACAGTGTGCCGATAATCTATTATAATGTGGAATAAACATATGGTGTGGTTATGGTGTTTAGTTGGGAGCAGAGATGCGATGTTTTAGTTAGATGTGTTTCTCATTTACCCTGATGGGAGTCATTTTCCTTCCCCACTGTTGTCGGTGATTGCGCTGGCTTTGTGAGAGCAACAATAAAGTGTAGCTGTTGCACGTCGTTGATGGCGACAGCAGAAGCCTGTTGGAATAGTCGGAGCAGGATGCGTTGTGGGGCCATAATTGTGAACCATTACAGAGGATTGAAGTTGCCTGGGAAAGCATTGATCTCAGGATGATTCTCTTTCTTTATGACCGGAGACGTAGCGCCTTTTATTGACATTTCTTCAGGCTCATGGCTACTCGTTTTCTTCCCACATTTTATGTTTCAAATGGGATTTCTTTAGATTACATGATCCAAGTTGTCTGACTCCCTTTTCTAGCGTGTTTTTTATAAGGTCTCATACTTGGATGGTCGATATAAGCTTTTTTGTTTTAACCGATATGCTATTTCTATGGGAAACACTGCTTTGTCGATTAATCAAATGTTCCTTTTGATGTTTCAATCGTAACAAGATTGTGGTCTTCTGATAAAACTATGAAAATTAAACACCAAAATTATAAAAGACTCAATAGTATGTATTAAACTGATTAATTCCCTTTTTCCCATCTGATATTTATAGTTAATAAATATTTAATGTAAAAGATATGACCTACATTTTATTTGCATTTTAATATCACTCATCTTAGTCATAACAAATATATCCACATATGATCAGTAGAATTTCATTATTTCATAAACATGTTCAGTAGTACTGGAAATGCTAATATTATTTTTAATTATAATGTTAACAATGTGATGGTGGCATATCTAATTTATTATGTATTGGTTGCAACACAATCCAGTCCAATATGTATTCAAAGGTAGAAGCATTTGTGATTTACATGCTTCAACAGCTTGCCATGGTCCTTATACGGTGTGAGGACTCAAAGTAGCAACCTGACTGCAGGTAGCTGCTGCGGTTCTGCTCCATAGTGTTGCAGGCTGCAGACATCCACAAACAAATGGGGTGGTGGGGATTTTTGTTTTCGCTTGTAAAGAGTAGTCATTCACAACCATCGTGTTTTCTCTGAACCACAAAGCATTAGCCAATCTACCCGTTGTTTAACTCTTGATCCCAAACTTTTGCCATTTCAGCCTTTTACAATGTTTTCTGTCTTTGCTGATTTCTCTTTTTTCCTCTACAGGACCTAGATTGCCACATTGTGCACCAGTAAAATTTATTCAAACTGTGTCACACGCATTTAACAAAGCTTTGAATCAGTAAAATATAGTTAGAGGAATTTAATGAATCGAACCATTGAATGATTCGTTTTAGCCATACATAATACTGATATACAGTAGTCTAATTTCCAATACCAA